TTTTAGAGGTAAAGTGTCCTGTGTCTGCAATTTATTTTGAAATGATCAATAATACAAAGTGGATTGATGGATAGAGGAATGAGGATGCCTAGAAGGACGGGTATATGACAAACAAAAGCAAGTGTTACTTGTAGAATGTGGGTGGGAGGCATCTAGGTAATCACTGTACACAGTCAAACTGTTCTGTGTATTTGAGAATTTTACAATCTTGGGAAAAATGCATGTACCCTTTGAGCTAACAGTTCTTCCTTTAGAAATTTATTCTATAGTTGTATCTACACATGTGGACAAAAGTATATGTTAAGGCCATTTTATTGCAGTGTTGTTTGTTATAAGAGAAGATTTGAAGTAACCTGCATTTCCTTCAGTAATGAGCTATAGTTCATTCAGAGTTGAATACCATGCAGCCACTAAAAAAATGAGACCACTGTTTCTTTCTATATAGGCTAATGTGGGACAATGTCCGAGATCCATTGATGAGTGATACGTACATATAGAAAAGTGTATATAAATATATTAGGCTACCATGTCTTTTGTTGAAGGATATATACACACAACATGTACAGAGACAAGCATACGCATGTATTCTATTTGCTTAGAATTTTTCTTACAGGCTGCCCAAGAAATGGGCATTGCTTTAGAGCACATTGGGGTGGAGAGGCAAGCAATCAGGGTGGGGGAGACCTACTTTTTACTCTGTGCCTTGCAGCACCTTCTGAATTGTGTGTCATGTACATGGTTTACATGCTCAGAAAACAAATACCAGCTTGTGAGTCCGAAAAGATTGAAGAACAGCCAGAGGTAAGACAGGAACTAGGAGAGCTCTCAAAGCCCAAGGAGAACTGAAGGAAGATCGAGTGTCCGTCTGTCTGGTATCGCACAGAGCTCAGTCAAGTGCCGTTTGACTTAAGAACAGGGAGTTCTTTGAGCTCTGCAGCAGTAACCTTTGCTCTGTCCCGTCTGATTCTCAGCATTTAGAGGATTATCAGCGCCGCCTTGACACCTCCAACCTGAAGCTGTCCGAGTACCCAGACGTGGAAGAGCTCAGGGTGAGAAATGGTCGACAATGACTTGAACCGTGAAATGCACTGACGGCCCTGCAGGAAGCAGTGCCTCTGAGGGAGCACTGCCCGTGGGTTGATGCTCGAGGCTCAGCTCTTCCTTCTGAACACTGCGTCCCTGGGGGCTACTTCGTGTAGTCTTCCCCTAAAGCAGCGGTTCTCAACCTGTGGGTCGCGACCCCTTTGGCGGTCAAATGACCCTTTCACAGGGGTCGCCTAAGACCATCCTGCATATCAGATATTTACATTACGATTCATAACAGTAGCAACATTACAGTTATGAAGTAGCAACGAAAATAATTTTATGGTTGGGGGTCACAACCTGAGGAACTGTATTTAAAGGGCCAGAAGGTTGAGAACCACTGCACTAAGGAATGTTTTCTATGGGAAACTTTTTTGATAAAAATTTGCAAGAGACGAAAGAACATTACTTGTTAGGTTATATTATTGTGTTGTACAGTTTGAGTAAGAATAGGGCTGTTTGCTATGGGAACTTTCCAGATTATTGAGTGAAGCAAGGTAATTATTTTTCCATGAAGTTCCTCAGAAAGTTGAAACCATTATGCGAATGATAGGGAAATATTTATTGTCACTCTGGTACATGTGGCCTTTCTATTAATCACTATTTAGGATTTTAAATCTTTCTTACATTGTTTCACTGTTGGTTGTTTTGCAGATTAATTTGGTGGCTGTTAAACTTCTGTGTCATATATAACAGTTCACCAACAAGCATGCTTGTGCTTATCCCCGGCTAGAGCGAGGTTTTCCTAGAGCTGCTTATGCTAAAGGCGACTCCGCTGTTCCTCCCGAGAGCGAGCCTGAGTGCTGCCTGGCCTCCCCCTAAGTGCTGCTCCTTAGACGTTCCCTTGCCACCAGAACCTGGGACTAGAGGCCTCTTACAAACCAGCTTAGCAACATCCTCATCTGGTTATTGATAGAAAATGCAGGGATGGTGAGAATCTGATGGCTGAATGCTCACAGCTTCACTTTCATAAGCTGGGTCATCTGTTGAGAGAGATTTAGAAGGCAGCACTTCTGAGTGTTTTTTTAGAAAATGTTATGCAGCTTACTTGAACTTACTGTTTATTTCATTTTCAATAGTTGACAGATATCAATAATAGTGAATGTAAGTGGTATTTTTATACAGTAGGTCTTTGGGTTTCGATGGAGATCCGTTCTTCCGGCACAATGTAACATGATTTTTTGCCGTAAGTCGGAACCCACCAACATAAGCACCTATGTCACTCACATGGAGCACATACACAGCAGTAATAAAGTGAAATGGTAAAATAAATTTAAAAGAAAGATAACAATTCCTGACCTTTACTTGTGGTAAATAAACAATAAAAAATATAAAGCACATATGTGCATATGTCAAAATGACAGAACTTTTTTTATATATAAATAAATGAGAGATGGCGACATAACCACGAAACAACGTACGTCGAGTCTGACATAACCCGAGGACTGTCTGTATTAAGAATTTCTTGAAAAGAGACTAAAATATCTCACTAAGAACTTAGAAATAATTTCTGTATAATTCTTTTTATTTTGACAGAATTTGGATTTAACAAAAAGGAAGATGATTCATGAAGGACCATTGGTTTGGAAGGTGAATAGAGATAAAACTATTGGTAGGTCTAATGTCTGTCAGTTTTGGGGAGAGTGAAGAAAGGAAAATAATAGGAAAGTTTCTTTTTTTTCTTTTTTTTTATTGATATAATATTATCTTTTATTTATTTTTTAACTGTTTTATTGCTTAAAGGATTACAAAGAGTATTTCATATGTCTCCTTTTTTTTCCCACCCTTGACAATCCCCTGGCCTCCCCTACCCCCCAGTGTCTTATGTCCATTGGTTATGCTTATATGCATGCATACAAGTCCTTCGGTTGATCTCTTACCCCCCCTCTCCCGCCCCTCAACCCTCCCCGGCCTTCCCGCTGTAGTTTGACAGTCTGTTCAAGGCAGCTCTGCCTCTGTATCTATTTTTGTTCATAAGTTTATAATGGTCTTTATTATCCATGAGTGAGTGAGATCATGTGGTGTTTTTCCTTCATTGACTGGCTTATTTCACTTAGCATAATGCTCTCCAGTTCAATCCATGCCGTTGCAAATGGTAAGAGTTCCTTCTTTTTTACAGCAGCGTAGTATTCCATCGTGTAGATGTACCACAGTTTTCTAATCCATTCATCTACTGATGGGCACTTAGGCTGTTTCCAGATCTTAGCTATGGTGAATTGTGCTGCTATGAACATATGGGTGCATATATCCTTTCTGATTGGTGTTTCTGGTTTCTTGGGATATATTCCTAGAAGTGGGATCACAGGGTCAAATGGGAGTTCCATTTCCAGTTTTTTGAGGAAACTCCATACTGTCTTCCATAGTGGCTGCACCAGTCTGCATTCCCACCAGCAGTGCACGAGTGTTCCTTTTTCTCCACATCCTCTCCAGCACTTGTCGTTTGTGGATTTGTTGATGATAGCCATTCTGACAGGTGTAAGATGGTACCTCATTGTTGTTTTGATTTGCATCTCTCGGATGATTAGTGACTTTGAGCAAGTTTTCGTATGTCTCTTGGCTTTCTGAATGTCCTCTTTTGAAAGGTGTCTATTTAGGTCCTTTGCCCATTTTTTGATTGGATTGTTTATCTTCCTTTTGTTAAGTTGTATGAGTTCCCTATAAATTTTAGAGATTAGGCCCCTCTCAGATATGACATTGGCAAATATGTTTTCCCACGCAGTGGGCTTTCTTGTTGTTTTGTTGATGGTTTCTTTTGCTGTGCAGAAGCTTTTTATTTTGATGTAGTCCCATTTGTTCAGTTTCTCTTTAGTTTCCAGTGCCCTAGGAGCTGTATCAGTGAAGAAATTGCTCCGACATATGTCTGAGATTTTGTTGCCTTTGGATTCTCCTAGTATTTTTATGGTTTCCCATCGTACATTTAAGTCCTTTATCCATTTTGAGTTTATTTTTGTGTATGGTGTAATTTGGTGGTATAGTTTCATTTTCTTGCATGTATCCGTCCAATTTTCCCAACACCATTTATTGAAGAGACTATCTTGACTCCATTGTATGTTCTTGCCTCCTTTGTCAAATATTAATTGAGCATATTGGTTCGGGCCGATTTCTGGGCTCTTTATTCTATTCCATTGATCTATATGTCTGTTCTTGTGCCAATACCAGGCAGATTTGAGAACAGTGGCTTTGTAATACAGCTTGATATCTGGTATTGAGATCCCACCTACTTTGTTCTTTCTCAGGATCGCTGCAGCTATTCAGGGTCTTTTTTTATTCCAGATGAATTTTTGGAGATTTCGTTCTAGGCCTGTGAAATATGCCATTGGTATTTTAATGGGAAGTTCATTGAATTTATAGATTGCTTTGGATAGTATGGACATTTTAATGATGTTGATTCTACCAATCCAAGAACACGGTATGTTCTTCCATCTGTTTATGTCTTCCTCTATCTCTTTTTTCAACGTCCTGTAGCTTTCTGAGTAGAGATCTTTTACCTCCTTAGTTAAGTTTATTCCTAGGTAGCTTAATTTTTTTGGTGCGATGGTAAATGGGATTGTTTTTTTAGTCTCTCTTTCTGTAAGTTCACTATTGGTGTATAGAAATGCCATAGATTTCTTGGCGTTAATTTTGTATCCTGCTACATTGCCGAATTTATTTATTAAGTCTAATAGTTTTTTGATGGAGTCTTTAGGGTTTTTTATGTATAATATCATGTCATCTGCAAATAAGGACAGTTTTACTTCTTCTTTTCCAATTTGGATGCATTTTATTTCTTCTTCTTGTCTAATTGCAATGGCTAATACTTCCAGTACTATATCGAACAGGAGTGGTGAGAGTGGGCATCCCTGTCTTGTTCCTGTTCTTAGGGGAAATGGTGTTAGTTTTTGTCCATTGAGTATGATGTTGGCTGTGGGTTTGTCATATATGGCTTTTATTATGTTGTGGTATGATCCTTCTATTCCCACCTTGCTGAGAGTTTTTATCAAAAATGGGTGTTGGATTTTGTCAAATGCTTTTTCTGCATCAATTGATATGACTATGTGGTTTTTTTCTTTCAATTTGTTTATGTGATGTATCACGTTTATTGATTTGCGGATATTGTACCATCTTTGCATCCCTGGGATAAATCCTACTTGGTCATGGTGTGTGATCTTTCTGATGTACTGCTGGATCCGATTTGCTAAGATTTTGTTGAGGATTTTGGCATCTATGTTCATGAGGGATATTGGCCTGTAATTCTCTTTCATTGTGTTGTCTTTACCTGGTTTTGGTATTAGGGTGATGCTGGCTTCATAGAATGAGCTAGGAAGTGTTCCTTCCTCTTGGATTTTTTGTAGTAGTCTGAGGAGGATAGGTTTTAGTTCTTCCTTGAATGTTTGGTAAAACTCCCCTATGAAGCCGTCTGGTCCTGGGCTTTTGTTTGCTGGAAACTTTTTGACGACTGTTTCAATTTCTTCCATAGTTATTGGCCTGTTGAGATTTTTAGATTCTTCCTGATTGAGTTTTGGAATGTTGTATTTTTCTAGGAATATGTCCATTTCCTCCAGGTTATCTAATTTGTTGGAGTAGAGTTGTCCATAGTATTGTTTAACAATCATTTGTATTTCTGTGGGGTCTGTTGTTATTTCACCTCTATCATTTCTGATTTTGTTCATTTGGGTCCTCTCTCTTTGCTTCTTGGTGAGCCTGGCTAGAGGTTCATCAATCTTGTTTGACCTTTCAAAGAACCAGCTCTTGGTTTCATTGATTTTCTGTATTGTTTTTTTGGTCTCTATGTCATTTATTTCTGCTCTAATCTTTATTGTCTTCTTCCTTCTGCTCACTCTGGGCTTTTCTTGTTGCTCTCTTTCTAATTCTTTGAGTTGTAGAGTTAGATGATTTACTATCATTTTTTCTTGTTTTTTGAGATAGACCTGTAGAGCTATAAACTTCCCTCTCAGGATTGCTTTCATTGTGTCCCATAGGTTTTGGATTGTTGTGTTTTCGTTGTCATTAATTTCCAAGTGGCCTTCCTTATCTCTTGTTATGGCCTTCACTTTGAGGTCTATTTTGTCCGATATAAGTATTGCTACCCCAGCTTTTTTTATTTTTCCATCCCTTCACTTTCAGTCTGTGTGAGTCCCTTCTTCTGAGGTGGGTCTCTTGTAGACAGCAAATGTATAGGTCATGTTTTTTTATCCATTCAGCCACTGGATGTCTTTTGGTTGGAGCATTTAGTCCGTTTATGTTTAAAGTTATTATTGAAAGGTACTTGTTTGTAGCCATTTCTTTTTTTGTGTGGCTGTTTTCTTTCTGAGCTTTTTATTTCTTCTTTTTACACCAGTCCCTTTAGCATTTCTTGCATTGCTGGCTTGGTGGTGATAATCTCCCTTAGCCTTTTTTTGTCTGTGAAGCTTCTTATTACCCTTCAGTTTTGAATGATAGCCTTGCTGGATAGAGTATTCTTGGATTCAGTCCTTTGCTTTGCATCACTTTGTAAATTTCTGTCCATTCTTTTCTGGCCTGATGTGTCTCTGTTGAGAAATCATTTGATAATCTAATGGGAGATCCCTTGAATGTAACTTTATGTCTCTCTCTTACAGCCTTTACGATTTTCTCTTTGTCCTGAACATTTGCCATGGTAATTATGATGTGTCTTGGTGTGGGTCTTTTCGGGTTCACCTTGTTTGGGACTCTCTGTGCTTGTATGATTTTTTTCTTCCCCACCTCTGGGAAGTTTTCTGATATTATTTCTTCCAATAGGTTTTCTAACCCTTGTTCCTCTTTCTGTTGTTCTGGCACCCCTATTATTCTTATGTTGTTTCGTTTCATGTTGTCCCATAGCTCCCTTAGGCTCTCCTCCTGTCTTTTAATTTTTTTCTCCAATTGCTGTTCAGTTTGGGTGTGTTTTGTTTCCCTGTCTTCTAATTCACTAATTCGGTCCTCCTCTTCTCCTAGTCTACTGTTGAAACTTTCAATGGTGTTTTTTATTGCAGCTATATCACTCTTCATTTCTTCTTGGTTCTTACATAATTTATTGATTTTTTCATCTGTTTCTTCTTGCATCTTGCATAAGTTGTTGATTTTTTCCTCCATCCGGTTTATGCACTCTAGGACCCTTAACACATCGTATGCAGGAAACGTATTTATACGTTTCGGAATTTTTACATATTTTATTACTTTTATTTCAATTTCCAGTGAGTTTCCCAGTATTTGTCTGTTTAAAATTTAAGAAAAATAATTCAGTATACATTTTATAGTAAATCACAAAAAGTTTCATTGAAAAAAATATGTAAAACTAAAGTTATCGTGATTTTACTGAACATTGCTATTTGCGCAAAAAATTAGCAAAAATGGCCCGCGCCACCTGTTAGCGCGTGATAAAAACTACCCGCAAACAATGTGTTAATCTGAATTCTTTTTCTGTCATGTTGCATGCCTCTGTATCACTTAGCTGCTTTTCTGGCGAGTCTTCCTTTTCTTTCCTTTGGGGGTTTCTTTGTTTATCCATGTTTGATTGTACCGCCATATCTAGATGATGAGTTGTTCAGTGGCTGCTCCTTGGGTGGCAGTGGCTCCTCGGGTTGTGGTTGCTCCTCGGGGGGGGGGGGGGTTGTGGTAGCAGCTGCTCCTCAGTTGGTAGCAGCTCCTCTGATGGGTGCTGTTCACAGTTGTAGTGGCTCTCTGGCTGGTGGGGGGAGGCTTCACACACAGCTGCTGTTCCTCAGACAGAAGGGTGTGGTGATCAGGAGGCTGCTGTTCCCTTGGATGGGGGTGCGCTACACAAGCAGCTGGCTACTCCCTTCGAATGTTACTTTTAATCTCTTAAGCGGCTCAGGGCAAGGTGTTTTCCATAGGTGTGTCAACTGTCTTCCCCCCAGCAGGCATATGTCTATGTGGCTGTGTGAGGGAATGACTGAGCCGAGAGACTTGGGTGTCTGCCTTCTGAGCTCTGTCCCCCGAGTCCCCAGTGCTGGCTTTTGCTCTCACAGCTCCAGTCCACTTCACCCTCCCTCTGCCAGAGCACAAGGTGGTTGGCTCCACAGGGAATTTTGTGCATTGGCCCTTTAAGAGGGTGCCTGAACTTTCAGCTGCCACTCCCTGGCAGACAGCACCCCACCGCTTTTCACAGCTTGATGTTATGTGGGCACCCTCCTCAGTTTGGTGCTCTCTGCTGGGGAGCCCAGCTCCGGGATTAGATCCCAGACTTCTCAGTGGCACCTCCCCCCGCCTCCACCACTGGCTGAGATATCTCTCTGGGACTTCAGTTGCCCTCTGTGGGTCACGTCTCTGCCCCTCCTACCAGTCTCTATGCAGGCTCCACCTTTGGTCCTTGGGTATCAGTGTTCTCTCCTGTGAGTTTTCTGTTGATTATTCAGGAAGCCTTCTCATATTTCAGTTGTAATTCCAGCTTGTTCCTGGGAGCTTGACCATGCAGCATCCTCCTACTCTGCCACCATTTTTAATCTCAGGAAAGTTTCTTAGAAGAAGAGAGAACCATTTACAATTTTCAGTTACAGCAGTTAGCATTGCTACTTTGTGTTATTCATGCACTTACAGGAGATGTGCTTCTGTGGTTTTGTATCTGTGAAGTGTGTTACTTGTTCGTGTGGGGGTGAAACAGGAAACTGTCATGATTCAGTCCTGTCTCCATCATCCATGCATCTGCGTGAGTCTGGGCTTTTGGATCATGAGGCTACAGCTGTCTGTGTTGAGGAACTGTTGCTTTTTGATTTTTTGTCAGGCTGATACTTCAGGGTAATGGAGTCCATTTTTTTTTCCAGAAAATTTCTCTGTTGAACTTTTATAAAATTTATAAAACACGTCTCAGTTTCTGTACTAATCACCCATCCCTGTGTTTTTATCTCTAGATCTGTATACATTGCTGCTGGAAGACATCCTTGTGTTGCTACAAAAGCAGGATGATAGGCTGGTGTTACGGTGTCACAGTAAGATTCTGGCATCCACAGCTGATAGCAAGCACACATTTAGCCCTGTCATTAAGCTGAATACAGTGCTGGTTCGACAAGTGGCCACAGGTGAGCATTTCTGCTGAGTGTTGCTAACCTTCAGGTTCATGGTAAAGTTGTGTAAGATATTTAGTGTTATTTACATAGAACAGCTGGCATAAAGTTTTGTTCTTTTCATATTCTTATACAAATTAAATGATATTTATTTACTGCTTGGAAAGTGGATTAAGAGTTTATACTCCCAAATTAGGACACCCAGACTCGTTGAGCAGTTTTCTGCATTTGAAAATTTTCTGCATATTAGTTTGGTCTTTTATTCCGTGTTCAAATCATTGATAGACAAAAGGCTTTCATTTGAGTGGTATGTTTTTTGATTTGGTAGGGAAAGGGGCAAAACCTCAAGAGATGGGTGTAGTTTAGATTTTTGAAATCAGTTTAAGTTAGCAAATTATATATTAGCTAGTGACCCAGTGCACAAAATTCGTGCACATTAAAAGAAAATTAATTAGAGGAAATATTTTAATATTGCTATTTGCCTTTTCTCTATAATAGAAGTGTCGGAGATGAAAGAAAATTAGTAAAATGTATATGAAAATCTTCCTCCTGTCACAGTCTGGGGCACACCACGGGGACCAGAGTCAAGTCCCCACCCACCCATGTGCACCTCAAAATCGCGCGAGACCCAGACCCGGCCAGCGCCACCCCCATTGGGCTAGATCCAGGCCTGGCTGGCCCCATCCCCGTCAAGCCCTGCCAGGTGGGAGGCGCGGCCTCAGGTGGCCTGGCCCGGCGCTGGGGCGGGGGTTGCAGCCTGAGGTCCCCCAGCCTGGGCCAGGGGGTGCGCCTTGAGATCCCCTGGCCCGGGCCAGGGGGCACGGCCTGAGGTTCCCCCGTCAAGCCCCGCTAAGCAGGGGCACAGCCTCAGGTTCCCCAGCCCAGGGTGGGCAGGAGGCATGCCTTTGAGTCCCCATCAACCCACTGGGCTGGGGCACAGCACAGGTCCCTAGCCCAGCACTGGTGCAGGGGGCGCGCCTTGAGGTTTCCCGTCAAACGCCGTGGGCGGGGGCACGGCCTGAG